TATATATAAAAATATATATATATATAATCATTTTTTTTTGCTCATGGATGGGATCTCTAAGTTTGAGGGTATTCAGAAATGGTCAAAGCTCAACAATGACAGCCTTCATACTCAAGTACAATATGACTCTATGAAATGCGCTTGTGTGACATTACCCCTACGTCTGTCCTGATGACGGTGATTGGAAAGGATGTAGGAAAAGCAGAAGACAACTATCGTTTCTCTGTGGAAAGTTGTCACTGTGTCTGTGATGGTTATGGTCAGCATCACTGCTTGTGTTTCAGCAGTCTGTAAGCATCATTGTAACAATTATAAACCAAAACTGATTGAAAGGTCATCACAAATTCCAGATTGGATTACCAATAAGTCAAATAAATATGAACTATTTCATTGTGTGTCCACTGTATGTCCACTATATGTCCACCACTGCACAAAGCCAACTTTCATCTACAGCAGATGCAGGGAATGAAATGCATCCGCAATATTAACCTTATGGTTCATGTCTACATACATGTAAAATATGTCCATAACTCCAAGCTGTTGAGGTCATTCAGCTGTGTGGTCCCACTGTCACCAGGGTGGCGACAGCATGCCTTTAGTCATACAGGTGCTATGAGAAGGAGTGACGGCGGGTGCTAGCATTATTCCAGTTCACACACTTTTCAGCACTTTACAAAGTGAATTGTATAGGGAGTATAGGGAGTATAGGGAGTCTGAACACCATTTCTCATCCAATCTTCACTCTAGTTCTTATTTATACATAGACGGTTCACACCTCACCACTAGACCCTCAAAGACCTCGGTACCTGCTAGAACATATTAGAAAACAGTCTATGCATCTGCATGCACTAAACTTATACAGACAATTCCAAATGTTCAGTTCTCTTCTGTGTTTTTCTGTTCAATAAATAATAAATAGTATTTACAATAAAGTCAATTGTACTTTTAACTAATACTGAACTTTAAAAAAAATATAATAAGGGACAAAAGAGCATAAGAAAAAAAGTTAAAAGTTGGCTTATTGTTTTATTAAGATGCATATGTAAAAGTCTCAGGAACTCACTAGAACTGTATATGTGGAACATGAAGTGGAAAGTGACATTTTGTACCACAAAGCTTAGTTCCTGTCGGGTAATCCCAGAGCCCAGTACTTCCAACTGTCACTATTATGGTATGTATCACAGAACAACAGGCAAAGTTACATTTCTATCAGATATCTCATTATCCATGCAAGTGGGAGAACTTTTACATACGTATCTGTGAATGTGGTCAAGGCACATAAACTAACTTTTTGGTTTTAGATTGATGGGTCCCTTGATGTATACCTGTTATAGGTGTCTGCTGTAAAGCATTGTAAAGCCACTGATTGAAAAATAAAAACTGTTTTGAAACACCTAAAAGAGTCACAAACTCCTTAACTCAACTTTACATCAGAAGTACCTGGTACATGACTGTAGAAAGGCAATTCAGAACCCCGGTTTCTCTTGCCGATTATGAGTACGTAGAACATTTCGAGACATTAGAAGGCAGTATGTGCCAGGAAGTCGATGGATTGGGATTGGGATACATTCAAAGTATAGGCTGTAAATAGGGGAAAGGTTAAAAATGACTTACCTCTGTACGAGACTGCAGCCTCTTGTTCATCTCATATATGCGATACTCTGGCTGTATCATGTACGGAGTATGTCTTCTGTAAAAAGGACCAAAGGGAGAGGAATAAAAAGGGTCATGCTGAGAGCTGGACATGTTCTTTCTTCCTTCCAGAGAATCAGGGCAGCATCAGCATCCATAAAGAGCACATGGACTGCGCGTTCTTCACAGCATAAACTAGCAGTATGCAAACACGGATCACACTGCTTGCCTGGGAACTGCTGCTAGAGCTTCTCTATAGCAAGACAGAGAAAAGAGAGAGGGAGAGGGAGCCAGAGAGAGCGAGGAGAGAAGCAGAGCACCAGAGCGAAAGAGGCTGAATAGCTTCAGGCTACATTGCCTGTTTTTTAAAGAAGCAGTATATGGAGAGGGTGACTTCCTGTCCACACACTGGGCTGCCTCGCATACATCGTTCAAGGCTGCCTTTTTAATTGTATCAGGCAGGGTCCCATAGGAAACTGAATGTTTTACCTCATGAATTTACATATTTCTTTATATCCAGCCTCATTTTTATTCATTCTGCGTATGGGGGTGATTTATTATTAATAAAAAAAAAAGCCAAGCTTGTCTATTAGAATGTAACTTTTAATTTATAGCAGATACAGTTATTTTAGGGTGTTGTTATCTAAAAGAAAATTGAGGCACA